CAGCTAGAGGAATTGAACTAACCCCAAGTCCCTGGATTGAACATCTGAGTTGCACATCTGAGAGGGAACCCCAGCAGATGGAGCCCAGTTGTGCAGACCCTCCTTCCCAGTATAGTGATATGGGGTTGGGCACAGTACCTGGCAGTGATCTCCCCATCACCATCCTAAAAGTGCCTCATTCAGGTTTAGTGTTAACATACTTAAACTTTCTTTTTAAGATTTATTTCTAACGAATATTGTTTTGCCTGAACGCCAGAAGAGGGCACCAGATCTCATTATAGATGGTTATGAGCTACCATGTGGTTGCTGGGAATTGAACTCAGGACCTCTGGAAGAGTACTTTTAAAACCAACAGTTTTAAACTCTGAGCCACCTCTCCAACCCCATATTTAAACTCTTAAAATGCAGAAAACAATCAACATGGTTTCTACCTAAGAAAAAATGTAAAACTAAATTAGGAAAAACATCTGGCAGCAGGGTTAGGGGAGAAGGTAAGGCAGGTAATCACCGGACAGAGCACTTAAGTGCCAATAGTCAAAGAAAGCCCTTCAGACCACATCCTTGTAATCCCATCCTAAGGGCAATTTTCTATCAATAACATGTAAAAATCTGGGTGGTCAATTATTTTTTTATTTTATTTATTTATTTTTTTTTGAGGCAGGGTTTCTTTGTATATCTCTGGCTGTCCTGGAATTCACTCTGTAGACCAGGATGGTTTCAAACTCAACAGAGATCCACCTGCCTCTGCTTCTCAAGTGCTGGGATAAAGAAGTGGGTGCACCACCACAGACCAGACTGTTTTGATACAGGGTCTTACTGCATAGACCACCCTGGCTCAAACTCAGAGACCTGATTGCCTCCACTTCTTAACTGCTAGGATTAGAGGTATGCACAAATAGACCTGGCTTAAGGGCAGATTTTATGTTACCTGGGCAGAAAATGAGTTAACCTGGCCCAAGTATAATCACCTGGGCAGATTTACAAATCATCAAAAGCTGAGTGAGAAAGTTAAGACTGCAGGTGACTTAGCATACACGGCACTATGAAAAAAACACTGGTATACTATGTTTATAGAACCACTAGCAAAAAAGGCATCAAGAAAAGAACAAGTGTATAGACATACCAGGGGCCACCTCGAAGACAGACTATGCTGGGAAGAACACAGGTCTATAATGCCATTTTCTTCCTTTATGGGAAACCTAAGGTGTTTGCTATTCTTAGTACTTTTAGGCTGCTTTCCACCCCAAAACATGTTTTTTGTTTTTTTAAAATCTTCTAATCTTATTTTTAGTTTTTAAAATCATGCATATATATATCTACGTGTGGGTATGATATGCCCAAAAATGCAGGTGCCTGCAGAGGCCAGAGGTGCTAGATGCCCAGGAGCTGAAATTACAGTTAAGAGCTGCCTGATGTGGGTGCTGGGAACTGAAACCTGGTCCTCTGGAAGAACATCAAGTGCCCATAATCATTGAGCTCTCTCTCTAGTTCTAGTCTTGTTATATAGCCTTGGCTGGCTTGGAACATGCTATGTAGACCAGACTGGATCCTCAGACTTGCAGCAGTATGGGTGGAGAGTTGGCTCAGTGATTACAAGCACTGCCTACTCTTCCAGAGGTCCTGAGTTCAATTCCCAGCAACCAGATGGTAGCTCACAACTATCTATAATGTGATCTGATGCCCTCTTATGGTATGCAAATGTACATGCAGATAGAGCACTCATATACATAAAAAAGAGAGAGAAAGAAAAGAGAAAATTTTGAGGCTGAAGAAATGGCTCAGAGGTTAAAAGCAGTAGCTGTTCTTCCAAAGATCCTGAGTTCAATTCCTAACAACCACATGGTGGCTCATAACCATCATGAGATCTGGTGCCCCCTTCTGGTGGGTAGGCACATATGCAAGTAGAACACTATACATAATAAATAAATAAAAATAAATAAAAAACTTGCAGCAATCTTCCTGCCTCTGCCCCTTGAGTGCTAGGATTATAGGAATGCACCGTCATGTACAGCTTTTCCAAAACAAAGATTAGTTTCACAGGGCTACACAGCAAGACTTTGTCTCAAACAACAAACACATACTGGCTTCAACTAAATTGCCTTTCAAGAGTTTTTTCAGGCTGGAAATGTAGCTGAATGGCTAAACACTTGCCTAGTTTGTGTGAGGTCCTAATTCAATTTCTAGTAGGGGGAGGAAAATCAATCTGTGTAGCCCCCTGTTAAGATCAAGAGCATGGCTGAAGAAATGGCTTGGCAGTCAAGAGCACTGGCTGTTCTTCCAGAGAATTAGGGTTTGATTCCCAGCATCCATCCATCCATGCAATTCACAACCATTTTTAACTTCGGTCTCAGGGGATTCATCTCCTCCAGCCTCCACAGGCACTGCATGCACATGGTATATACATATTACATATACACAAGCAAAACACTCACACATATAAATGAAAAGACAAGCCAGGCAGTGGTGGTACACACCTTTAATCCCTGTGCTTGGGAAGCAGAGGCAGGTAGGTCTACAAAGCAAGTTCCAGAACAGCCAGGACTATGCAGAGAAACCCTGCCTTGAAAAACCAAACCAATCAAAATACAAACCAGGTGATGAGTACTCAGGAGGTAAAGACAAATGTAGTGAGTTTCCTACATAGAGTTCGCAGACCATCAACGGCTACAGTTTGAGGTAGGTTCTAAGAAAGAAAGAAAAAAAAGGACCAGGGTTTGATGCTGGGAATCAAACCTTGGTCCTCTTGAACAGCCAGTGCTCTTGACTGCCAAGCCATTTCTTCACCTATGCTCTTGATCTTTTTTTTTAATGCTCTTGATCTTAACAGATTGATTTCTCCTCCCCCTACTAGAAATTGAATTAGGACCTCACACAAACTAGGCAGGCATTTAGCCACTGAGCTACATTTCCAGCCTGAGAAAACTCTTGAAACAAATAAATGAGAAACAGAGACAAAGACAAACAGGCAGACACACACACACACAGAAGACTAATCAAGAACACAAAAGACTTGACTCTTCAGAGTACAGATCAGACAGAAGAGACCTGGCCAGACCTGAGGAACTTCATGGTCAAGGTGCCTAATTTCACTCTAAAGTGTCGGGGCCTCAGCTTGGTACTGCTGTAACCAGGAACCCCTTTCCAGCCCTAAGGTCTCCAAAATGGTACCCCAGGAACATATGGATTTTGCAGTTGCCCAGACCTGAACCCTTGTCACAGAGGTGGGGCAACCAGAAACATCAAACAAAAGGACATGAGAACTTAAACTGTACCCCAGCCTATCTATATCTGCTCTTAACTCTGCCATGAGGTGTGCATGCTCATGTCTACAGAATAATTCACAAATCCCCCAGGGACCATGATATCTGAAAGGCCAGATTAAAACACAGCAGGATGGATTCTACCAAGAAATGCCGGAGCATAGATAAAATGGGTCAACACCAGTTAGGGGCTGTTTTTACACCAGCTATAACTACATATCCAGGAATATTATGTAGAGCACAACTCTCAGAAATATGAATGGGCAGGACAAAAGGAGGTCAAAGATGTAGCGCTATCATTGGGACCAAAAGGGTCTAGCCCAGCAAAAAAAAGCTGAGATACTTATACGCTCTCTATACTCCTCATTCCTCTTAAGCTGCGAATTCAGTACAGAGATCTGTTGAGGCCAAGGTCTCACTCTTAAGAATCAGAGTACCACATATGCCAAAATCAGTTCATGTAACCCATAACAACATGTACCACAAATTTTTATACTGGATTGGGGTCTGCCCCATTACTCACTACAAAGGTGTGAGCAAGTATGTGGGGAGAGCAGCAGGGAAGCTTCTAGAAGCTACAAGTAACAGCCAGTGATGTGTTAAGCCAGGTAGATGAAGGAACAGAATAGTCATAGTCCACTGGTTTGGTGTGGCCATTGAGACCAGAGAACATGGGTGTAGTGTTACCTGCTCTGAAGTAATAATTTGAGGCTGGAGAGATGGCCAGACATCCCACGAAGGCTCCAGAAACAGTACCCTGACGGTCCCTAGCTTTATATTTTTTAACAAGTGTCAGTGGTGCCCCTACTTCCAAGGTCCACGTAACCTTGGCTGTTTAGGATCTATCTGCTTTAGCAGGGAATAAAGGTGCAAGGGACTAGCAGTTCTTCTCACCATTCTAGTCATGACATTTAGAAATGAGGTATCAGAACTGAGAGAAAGGATGTTCACAGCTGGACCAGGAAGGAGGAAATGAGGCCCAAGGGGGACTCAGCAGGGGCCAACATCAGGTGCCATTTCAGTGCCAAAATCACAAGTAGAATTTGGCAAGAAATCACTAATAAGACACGAATCTGGTCTGCAGTGAAAACATTTATTTTACAACAGCTATCTTTATTTAGATCAACATTTAGACAAGTCACCATGCAGAACCACCACAGCTTTCAGCTTGGCCCTTGGAGGGACACCAAAGTCAAGTTAGCCTGGGCTGACAGCAGCTTGTACCCTGCTGTACACGGACTTCAGCAATGGGTAAAACTAGTACAGACTTGCCATGCATTTGCCTTTAGCTTTTAAAATTTGTCTTTAAGTGAAAACTTCTTCCCCCAACTAAGCATGAGACACTTTTCTAGAAAATGTATCTACCAACAGCACAGCCTAAGGGGCACTTGACCCAGGCCTTTTCTTGTCAGCAGAGGCTCTGCCCAGGTTACCCTACATGCACCTAGGTTACTGATTTTATCTGGTGTTCATAAGATTGGTCTTAGTGTTTCAAGAGAGGAGTTTCTAGCCATGTCCTAGACCTCATACACTTGAGGGCCACGTGAGTTTTGTATAGTGCCCAGGGATCTATCAGGTATGGTCACCCTTGTCCCCACATATAGAGCTGAAGCCAAATTGCTGGTCAGGACCTACTCAGTGCATTCAGGTCCATGTGTCTATGTGCACAGTAAGTTTAGGGTTTCCTTTTGTTTTGCCATGAGACCCTACCCCTGCCCGACAATCCAAGAAACCACAGGCTGTTTTGGAGCTGACTTTTATTATACTTGTTGCTTTGCCACCAAACAGCAGCATGACAGGCCTGCTGTGTGATATATACATATACACATATGTACACACACCGACACACACCACAGCCCACACTCACAGTATGTGACAACACACACCGTGCTTGTGAGGACAGTAAAGATGTAGCTTTTGCCATTTCCATAGAAGGGTAACTCAATCAAAACAAAAGAAACAGGCCAGTGCTGGGACACATGAGTTCACAGCTCAAAACACTGGAAAAAAAAAAAAGAGATCAGTCATGTTTTACACTGTTCACAGCTGTTCCTCAATAAAAAGTGCACTGCGGGCCAAAGGAGGATGGTCATGGCCCACCAGTTCTCCAAGAACCTACACCCTCCAAGAACAGCTTGATTAAGTCACCATCTCTGGAGACCACCAGCTGTACCACTGGCAGCTCCTTTGCACAGGTTCACCTGTAATAGAAGCCATGAGTGAGCAGGACAATGGGCATTGATGTGAGCAAACCCTGGCATCTGAACATTTGAGAAGAGACTGGCTTGATAATTCAGGAACAAATCCAGCAGTCATCTTGGGAAAGTTTCCTGCTAACAACAGTAAACACTGGTTTCTTTCTTCTTTTGGTTTTTTGAAACAGGGTTTCACTGTGTGTGGCCCCTGCTGCCCTGGAACTAGTTCTGTAGACTAGACTCACAGAGATCCACCTGCCTCTGCTTCCCAAGTGTTGGGATTAAAGGCATTTGTCATTACTGCCCAGCCTGGTTTCTTTTTCTAACAGGTCCCTAGTGGGTGCTGGCTGTGTTAACTGAACATCAGAAATCTAGGAAGGGTCATAAACATTGCACAGAATTATCTAAAGTAATTTTTCAAAATACAGTCAAAAAGGAAGACAAGGAAAGACCACATCATTGAGCACAAACAGAAATCTATACTCCAGCAGCCTTGTTGAGATGGGCCCCTGGGGTCTTTCCCAAGTACTTTCTATAAGGTCCTGAAGGGGTAGCCACTGCACTGGATGAACTTCCATGGACTCCAGCACTCCCTTGGCAATACACCACAGCACCACCTACACTGCCTACGAGTATAGGAGTTAGGGGAGTGTGTGTGTGTGTCTATATTTAATAGTACTTGACAGGAATAGTCAGGCTGATCCTGGGGCTCACCAGTTCTTAGCTCAGGGCAAATAAATCAAGGAGACCTTAGATCAACACAGTAAAACCCTGCAAGGTAGTATGTATAGGGACAGGTCAGGGAGTTTACTGGCCTTGGCAATCACTATTATCACCTTGAAACTGTTCTACATTGAAGATTTCAAGTTCAACATGATTTGTTTAGCTTTACAAATTCCAAAAGACACTAGGTTTAACTCCTGTACCTAACAGCATCACAAGTCCCAGTTCAGGACCTGGCTTACTAGGATGTGAGGTAAAGGGCCACAGAGCTACATGCAGGAGGGATATGGCATCAGATTGTAACTTTCTACTCATCATCTACAGCTCTGGTTCCTGGTCACTGTGGGAGAAGGGCACCAAGACCCCAGCACCTGCTGTCCAGTGACCTCTCTTCTTCCTTTGTTCCAAATATGGGCCAAACAATGGAGTTCTTATTCTTCTACTAGGTTGCTTTGTTTTATTTGAGTCAGGGTCTAGCTGTGTAATCCTAGACTGGCCTACAATTCAAGGTCCTCCTACCTCAGCCTCCCTAGTGCTGGGATTACAGGCATGTCCCACTATATTTAGCCATAGGTACGACATTTACAAATTATTTAACCGATTATGTTAGTGAAAATCCCTAAAAACCCTTTAAAGAACAAAACCAACAAATCCATGGAAGGACTCTGAAGCCAGCTTCTGGCTCATAGAATTCTGCTGTAGGGTCAGCGGGGAACTCTGGCATCAGTGTCTCCCATAACCTGGATGTGCACCCTCAATCACTGCCAGGGTTGTCCTCACAATGCTGCCTCTTCTTGTAACTTCCTGTCAACCTGTTCTGGTCCCTGAAGGCCCTGGTGAGCTGGGGCCAGGAGGTGGATGGGGTGGGCTTCAGAAACACATGGTGGTTTGTCTGGGCCACTGAGCCACCACATGAGCCTTCTTCTTCATCTGTACTGGAAATGCAGATAGTCAGCAGCAACCAACAGGAAGGTTCTGGAGGAACCTGGCTCACTGATGTCTGGAGCAGCTAATTCAGCTAACTGTAAAAGGGCAGGTGGCTCCAAATTCCTGGTAACCACATTTTTCAACTCCACCTACCATGGTACCCTGTGACCAAGACTGGAATACTGACTGGAGAGAGGTTCACAAAGGAATTCTGTGGCCTGGAGCTGGCCTCCCAGGTTGAGTGACTGTCACCATAGCTTCCCTAGAAGCCAACCCTTCTGAGCCAGGAGAACCAGGGTCCAGCCACCTGCTCCAGGAACCCAACACTCCAGCTCTGCCAGAGGCCTTGATGATGACAGGTGGAAGCGAAGGCAAGTGGGGTGGATGGAGCTGTGGCAAGCACAGGGAAGAGGTTCTGGATCCTGGGCACTCAAACTCTTTATAAGCAGCTACATGCCACCCACAACTGGACTCAAAGACTTTCTGACTATGACTAAGTGGCAGGTGCTACCATTTGTGGTTCTTAAAAGTCCAAAAAAGATTAAAAAGGCTGGCTTGAAGGAATGTGGAAGATGACCCGGGAATGAGGGAAGGAGGCTGTGGCCCCGTCAATCCAGCTTTGACCTGGAAAGGTGCAGAACAGAGACAAATGATTTCCCACACACCAGCAAGAGACATGCCTCCAATGATAGGCTCTCAGTCTACAAGGCCAGAAGACCCAAGATAAAGACATTACACAGAGTGTGCTTCCACTTTCAGAAGGGGCATACCTGCACTCTCCACAGCAGATCTAACAGGAAAACTGTCACGAGGCCGAGTGAGATGATGCAGAAACCCTATGACAGCTTCCCAACTCGAACACCGTGCAAACGACTGATGCTGGTGGTGCCTGGAGGATGGGGCCCAGCTCCCTCCTTTGCAGGTGAAATCAGAACCCTGTCTGCAGCCTCGAGGATGAGATCAGAGCCATGGACTAGACCATGTCACAGGACACAGAGGCCAACATGGAGATGTAGCTCCAGATGCCTACCTGACTCCTGTAAGCACAAGGAGACAGCTGAACCTTCACTGGACCCACTTGGCTGAAAACCCAAGAAAGCACTACCATCCAGTTAATTCAGCCCAGCTATCACGTCCACAACACAGACACTGAACATAACCCATACATGCTATTAAAAAAGGATAAAACAGAAGAAGACCGTAGCTACACTGCTTTAAATACTGCATGCTACGCACTTCATGTATCAAGAATTGACAGGTGGGTGGGTTTAGAGGAGGTGGGAGGGGCCTGACCAGCCAAAGCTGGTCAGGTTGACAGCTGCCTCCCCATCTCAGTGACTACAGTTCATGATTCTAAGGTTGCAGTGGCCAGGTGCTGATTCATCCTCTAATCACAGCCTCTCCTGAATTTAGTTGAACCCGTCGGTGTGGTAGCTGGGATGGGAGTCAGCCGTCAGCTGGGTGGTCTCTGTGGCAGATGCTGGCTGTATGACGATCGGTGTGTCTGAAGCCTCTGAAAAGTAAGCAGGCAGCCTCATCGCACAAGGGCAGCAGCCGCATTGTGTGCCCATCGACATGGTCCTTGCATCACATCATTCGGCCACCTGGACAGACACTCAGGGGAGAGGCTACTTGCTGACCTCCACCCAACACACTTATCTCAGTGGTCTCAGGTCATACCAGCCCAGGCCCTCCCCACCTGCCTGCCTCCCTCCCCACCTTTGGTCCCTCAGATCTACGGCTACCAATTCACGGGCAGGAACAGCTCCCTGCACCTGCTTTACCTCAAGTGTCCACGTTCACACCTCAACAGTCCCAGATGCCACCACAAACACTCTCGGCACAGTGTCAGTGCCCTCCTGTTTGACAAGACAGTTGACACCGTTCAGGGCCAGTGCTGGCTCCACCCCACACACTCACAAGGTCCTGGGGTGGGCACTCACCCCTTTCATCAGACTGCAGCTGTGCCTCCAAGTCTTCAGGGGATACGTAGAATTCTGTCTCCTCACCCTCAGGTGCCTTAGGCTTGCATTTCCCACAGCAGCAGTTAAAGCAACAGCACAAACAGCAGCAGCAGTAGCAGCAGGTGAGGAGGCCACAGACAACGAACAGAGCCTGGAAGAGAGAATATTGGCACTGTAAGGGCCCATAGGCTATAACACAAGAACTTCCCTGAAGAAGATAGGACAAGAGCTGCAGTGTATACAGCTAATGCTAAGGGTATCCTACAGAAGAAGGCTGTAGACAAAGAGAACTTGCAGGGTAAAAAAAACAGAATAAACAGAAGCAATAAATAATTTTTAGAGACTGGATTGAGCACAAGCCATGAGGTTCTATTGTGTTTGACTGCTTTTCTGAACTCAGAAAAGTGAAGCTTTCCTTTTCTTCTCTATTTCTTTTTTATTCAGATGTTGGCCAGAGCCTAAGTATGCTTTTTCTGGTACTTCCTTACTCTTTTTCTGAAGGCTCTCTCCCAATTTTCTGCAATGCAGCTGACCTCCACACCTAACTAAAATGGCTTTCTCCTTCTAAGTTCCACCTTGAAATCTATAATGGACTTCTCTCCAAAACTATGAAAACTGAGGACTAACTAGTAAAAGCCAAAACCAGGCTTTTTATACCTAAGGGCCACATGGCAGTTCACTCTGACTCTGTCTATGGCTGACAGATGAGGGAAGCAAAAAGGCTATTAAAACAAATGATGTTAAGTCAAGAGTTTCTAAAGTCATATTTTAAGTCTTCCATGCTAACAAAAAACCTGCCCACACCATGATGAAAGAAACGTTTCCTATCTCAATCTTTTTAATAACAACATGCATCAGAGAAAATCATGTTAATGCAAATGGTTCTGGTCCAGGTACATTGTACCTGCCATGAACAGGCCAGTGTGTCAGTTGCAGAGCTCACAGAGGACAGCCCCAGGCCAGAAACCATGTCAAGAGAATGGAGACACGTATCTTTCAGTGTCTGCAGGCCTACTGTATACTAGAATTTTTAATGCCTTCAGTGTGGCAGCTCACACTGACTGCTCCATCCTCACCTTGGCCCACCAGCTGGAGAGCACGAAGTAGGTGTTGACGTTTTCCTCCCCAAATTGCTCGGCCACATAGAGCCCCAACGAGCCGTACTTGTCATAAATGTTTCTTTTCGTGGCATCTGTCAGGATGGCGTGGGCGTTGTTAATCTCCTTAAACTTCTCTGCAGCCTCTGGGTTATCAGGGTTCTTGTCAGGGTGATATTTCAGGGCCAGCTTCCTGTAACCAAAACCATTTTCTGGCTCTACCTTGGTCTTGCATTTCTCATTTATCCATCAGAGTCCAGGGGAAGAGATACTTACCCATTATCATTTCATTTTTCAACTTTCCAGAGATCTGGCTCATCAGAGTCAAAAGAAGTCTCTGTAATTGCTTAGGGTAATCCTCCCTACTAGGATACACGTACAAGGGAGAGTCCTGAGATACTAAGGGTAGGGCACAGCTTACAACATTCACTCCTGCCAAATCCTAGTGTCCTGGCCAGCTAGCAGAACATTTGGAAAATAAGCCAATGGCAGAGAAATGTATAATGTTGACATTTTAGTACAATACAAGTAGAAGACCACAGAAATGTCTGAAGTAAAGCTGTCCCACCCCCTTTCTGGGTTACCATATGGTATTACACCTAAGAGATACAGTCTTCAAGTCCAATCTAATAGCCACGACAAGACAGACAGACAGACAGACAGACAGACAGACAGACAGAGCAACCTTATAACTGTGTTAAAGTACAGCAGTTAGCACTAAAGGCTCCCCCATCTATGCACAGGGTTCAGACCCTGATCCTGTGGTCTGGGGAAAGTTAGCAGTATCTTCCAAGTGTGTTTTTTCTTTCTTTCTTTCTTTCTTTCTTTCTTTCTTTCTTTCTTTCTTTCTTTCTTTCTTTCTTTCTTTCTCTCTCTCTCTCTCTCTCTCTCTCTCTCTCTCTTTCTTTCTTTTTTTTTTTTCCTGCTAGGGAACATTAGTTTAACAGTTTTTGTTTGTTTAGGAAAGGTCCCTCCCTACATAGCTCTGGTTGTTCTGGAATTCACTATTGGACGAGGCTGGCTTCAAACTCATAAATATCTGTCTGCCTCTGGCCCCCAAAGTGCCAGGATTAAAAGCATTTACCACTATGCATGGTCAGTGTAACAGTTTTAAGTCTGAGGATTAAACTATGAATGTAAGGATGAAACATAACTATTAAAGATCTGTCTGAAAAAAAAAAAGTATGTCATTGTTCTTGGTAACTTACAAAGAAGCCATATGAGGTCTTGTGTTCCTCTGGGGAACACAGCTGCTTACCGATAGGACTTTTTAATGTCATCTGAGGTTGCATTCTTGTCCAGTCCAAGAACATGGTACAATGATTCCCCAGAAGTAGAGAGTGAGCGCTGCCTCTGGTCAGCCATGTTAGGTTAATCTATGAGAGAAGATAAAGGAAAATATGGAAAAATTTCAAAACCTGGGCCAGCAAGATGCTTAGTGAATAAGGGCACTGATGTCACGCCCAACAAGTTAAATTTGATTCCCAAAACTCACATGGTAGAAGAAATAACTCCTAAAAGTTATCCTCTGACCTCCATAAGTATGCTGTTCCCCCTCCCAACCCCTAAATAAAATATGTGGGGGCCAGTTTCTGTACTACATATGAAGTGTTGCAACTACTTAAACAGAGTTTAGAAAACTGAATATGTGTTAAAGTTTAAAGAAAGAAAACAATGCTACATAGTCTGGCATATGCCTATAATCTCAGCTTTTTGGGAGGCTGAGACAAAATGATCTCAAGTTAGAGACCAACCCTATATTTCCATATCAAAAAACAAATTAAAAAATACCTTGTTTTTAAAACCCCACAACAAAACCTTAAAGAAATAAAACACGAACAAAAAGCTTCAATTATGATGAAAACACTTCATGAGCTTCTTACAAGACCTTCAGAAAGAACTTCAGCACCCACCAAGGAAACCCTGAAACCCAAGCCTCTGTGATGGATGAGGAAACTGAGCCCTGAAACTTACAACAACGTTCAGAACTTACTTGGAATGTAACTTATTTTTACTTTCTTATTATTCTTATTTTCATTAAGTACTTCTTTAGCTTCTATTAGCCATATGACCCCTATATCTGTTTTTAATTTTAGAACTTCTCCAAAAATGTTTCTTTCCATATAATAAATCAATAGTGTTTGCACAAGACTCCCACCTATCCTCAGAACACTGATTAAGAGTTATCTATATTCTTATCTCCTGCACTGTCATTCTTGAGATTCCAAATAAAGTCCTTTTACTTCTGCAGTGTCTGGGTATTAAGTGATTGACAAAGCAAAAAGCAATAAAACAGAAACAACAGAGAAAATTTAAAATGCCAAGAGTTGATGCTTAAAACAAACAAACATTTGTGTGTGTGTCTGTGTGCGCACACAGGCGACAACACATGTGAGACGGTCAGAGACTAATCTGTGTAAGTCCATTCTCTCCTTCCACCCAGGGATTAAACTCAGGTCAGTAGGCTTGGCCTCAAAGGCCTTCCTTATCATCAAGCTTTTCTCTGGTCCAAGGGTTGACTGAAAACAAAAATAAAAACTGAGGGCAGGGGATATAGCTAGAGTCTGCCTGGAGGCATGAGACACTGGTTTCTATCCTTGGATCCTGAAGCCTATGTGAATAGGTAAAAGACAAATTTGGGATTTACTAATTCTTACACTTTAGACAAATAACTTAATCAGGCTTATGTATAAAGCTTTCATAAAAACTCAATAAAAATATTCAAGGGAAAATGGTGTCTGTACTTGGTTGGCACCCATCAGAATGGTGCCCTTTGCATGAAAATATTTATCATTTCCAGTAATGTATGTGTGCATCTATGTATTGGAAAGTGCACAGAGGACAGGTGCCTGCAGAGGCTAGAAGCATTGGATCCCTTGAAGCTGGAGTTATAGATGGTTGCCAGCTACCCAACATGGGTGCTGGGAACTCAACTTGGGTCCTCTGCAAGAGCAGTGCAAACAACCACTAAGTCTTTTTTCTAGCAACCGTTATTCATCTTTAAATCTAACCCTTTAGTTGTAACCTTCAAAGTATCTTTTTTTGAGGCATCAAACTGAAACTACCTGTAATCCCTGAAGCCAAGCTAATAGCTATAACACACATGCAGAGGACCTGGTGCAGACACATGCAGGCCCTGTGCTTGCCATTTCAGTCTGTGAGTCCATGTGAGCTCTGCTTACTTGATTCAGTCGGCCTCCATCCTCTTGGTGTCCTCCATCCCCTCTGACTCCTAAAGTTTTTCCTCCCCCTCTTCCTTGGGGTTGGCCCATCTCCGAGGGAAGGGACCCAATGGAGACCTCCAATTTAGACACTCTCTCTGCATAAATGTGGGTCTCTGCACCGGCTCCCATTTGCTACAGGAGGATGCTCCTCTGATAATGACAAGGCACCAATCTATGAGTATAACAGAATATCATTAGGAATCATTTCACTGATTTTCTTTCTTTCTTTCTTTTTTTTTTTTTTTGGCCAGTCATGTTTGGTTCTACCCTAGGTTTCTGGGTTATTCAGTCTCCAGTTTCTAGCCATCTAGGCAGTGTAGGGCATTGGTTCCCTCTTGTGACAGGGACATCAAGTTAAACCAAACATTGGTTGGCCACTTCCACTGTGCCATCACTGCCCCAGGACATCTTGCAGGCAGAACAGGTTGTAGGTGGAGGGTTTTGTGGCTGAGTTGGTACTCAGGTCTCTTTCTGTAGCCTTCTCAGGTCAAAGACGTTAGACTGTAGGAGTAAAGGCTCCTATCCCAGCTCGACCTCTGTACACTCAATGAGCTAATGTGGAAGTTGTCCTTGGCAATGGAGCCCATTGTCAGTTTTCAGAGAGTGACCTTCTGTCCTAGCATCAGTCAGGATTGTTTAGATCCATAGATCTCCTAGGCCAACAATCCAACCAAATGTAACCCATTACCATCACTGGGAAGAAGCCTTGTCTAGCGGCAAAAGATGGCCAGTTTAGACTCTGCACCCTTCATCACTAGGTGTCTAGGGTCATCTTCATAGATTCCAAGAAGTTTCTACTGCACTAGGTTTCCAAATGCCCCCCAATCTCCTCACATTCTCTCCCTTCACAGCCCCCTCAACAGATCCCTCCTGCTCCCACCCCCAGAATTGTTTCTCTTCCCCTTCCCAGGGAGATCCATGCATCTCCCCACCATAACCCTACTTTTCACCTAATCTCTAAGGTTCTGTGGGTTGTACCTTAATTATCATTTATTTAACAGCTAATATCCACTTATAAGTGAATACATACCATATTTGTCTTTCCGTGTCTGGGTTACCTACTCAGATTTTTTTCCTAGTTTGTATCCAATTGCCTGCAAATTTCATGTCATTTTCTTTAAACTGCTGAGTAATACTACATTGTGTAAATAAATGTACCACATTTTCCTTATTTAGTCTTAAGTTGAGGGACATCTAGCTTGTTTCCAGTTTCTGGCTATTCCGAATGATGCTGCAATAAATATAATGAAACAAGCATCCTTGTGGTAGGATGGAGTCTTATTTGGATATGTGCCCAAGAGTGATAAGGCTGGGTCTAGAGGTAGACTGATGCCCAGTTTTCTGCGAAACTGCCATACTGATTTCTATAGTGGCTGTACAAGTTTGCACTCCCACCAGCAATGCTCCCCTTGTTTCACATCCTCACTCATCATAAGCTGCCACTGGTGTTATTAATCTTAGCCATTTTAACAGGTGTAAAATGGAATTTCTAGGTAGTTTCAATTTGCATTTCCTTGATGGCTAAGGATATTGAATGTTTAAGTGTTTCTCAGCCACTTACGATTCTTCTACTGATAATTATGTTTAATCTGTATCCCATTTTTAGTTGGGTTACTTGAGGTTTTAATATCCATTTTTTTGGGGTTCTTTATATATTTTGGACATTAGACCTCTACTGGATGTAGAGTTGGTAAAATATCTTTTCCCATTCCATAGGCTACCTCTCCTGCCCCACTGATGGTGTTCTTTGCTTTACAGAAGAATTTCAGTTTTATTTTAATTGTTGATCTTAGTGTGTGTGTTATCCATCTTCTGTTCTGGTAGTTGTCTCCTGTGTCAACGTGTTCAAGGCTAGTTATTCCCTACTTTCTCTATCAAATTCAATTCAGTGTATCTGTCTTTGACTCACCTGGAATTGCATTTTATGAAGGGTGAAAAATATGGATCTATTTGCATTCTTTTACATACAGACACCCAGTTTTACTAGCACCATTTGTTTTAGATGCTTCTTTAGCAAAAATCAGGTTTTTAGGTGTGTGAATTTATATCTGGGTTTTAAATCCAACTGATCAAACACGTCTGTTTTTATGCCAAAACCATGCAATTTTAATTACTATAGTTTTGTAGTACAGTTTGAAATCAGAGACAGTTGATAACTTCAGAAATTCTTTTATTGTTCAGTGTTGTTTTAGCTATCCTGGGGTTTTGTTTTTCCATATGAAATTGAAAATTGTCTATTCAAGATCTGTAAAAACAAACAAACAAACAAACAACGAAAAACTATTGGAATTTTGATGAGGATTGAATTGAATCTGTAGACTGCTTTTGGTAGGATGGCCATTTTTATTACATTAATCCTACATATCTGTGAGCATGTGGGATTTTTGGGATCACTTATGTATGTTATTTATCACCTACAAATTGCAATTCTTTGACTTCTCCCTTTCCAATCTGTATCTCATTTATCTCCTTTAGTTATCTTACTGCTTTAGCCAGAACTTCAAGTACTATACTGAATAGGTGTGGAGTAGACCTATCTAATTTTAGTGGAATTGCTTTGAGTTTCTCTCCTTTTGATGCTGAGCTTGTAAATTATTTTATTATGTTTGACTATGTTCATAATCTAAGACTTTTTAATCATAAAGGGGTGGTTAGATTTTGTCAAAGGCTTTTTCAGCATCTAATGAGATGATCATGTAATTTTTCTCGTTTCTTTCAGTTTGTTTATATGATGGATTACATTGAAAAATTCTCTATGTTGAAGTGTCCCTGCATCTCTGGGATAAAGCCTACTTGATCATGATGGATGATGTTTTTCATATGTTCTTGGATTCAGTTTCCATGTGTTACTGAGTATTTTTGCATCTATGTTCACAAGGGAAACTGTTCTGTAATTCTCTGTCTGTTGAATCTTTACGTAGTTTGGATGTCAGAGTAACTGTGGTCTCATAAAATGAATTGGGCAATGCTCCTGTTTTTATTTTGTGAAATAATTTGAGGAGTCTGGTAGAATTTTGTGCTAAAACCGTCTGGGTCTGGATTTGTTTTTGTTTTTTTGGTTGTAGACTTTTAATGACTGCTTCTGTCTCACTAGGAGTTATAAATTTATTTAAATTGTTGATCTGATCTTGATTTAACTTTGGTAAGTGGTA